TTTCCCTCCCCTTCCCCCTCCCACTTCTCCCTCTCCCTTCCTTTCCCAATCCCATCTTTCCCTCCCCTTCCCCCTCCCACTTCTCCCTCTCCCTTCCTTTCCCCATCCCACCTTTCCCTCCCCTTCCCCCTCCCACTTCTCCCTCTCCCTTCCTTTCCCCATCCCACCTTTCCCTCCTCTTCCCCCTCCCACTTCTGCGTCTCCCTTCCTTTCCCCATCCCACCTTTCCCTCCCCTTCCCCTTCCCACTTTTCCCTCTACCTCTCCCCCCCCCCGTCGTGATTTCTCGTGTCACGTGTTACGCCGTGCCGGAATGAAGCTTCTCTCACGCGAACGCTCCCGCCATCTGTCGGTGGAAAGCGAAGTGAAATTCGGTGTTGTTCGCGTTCTGGACGAAACTAGTGCGTGCTGCCCTCTGTCGCGTAGATTGTCGTTGATACGGCGCGAAATGCCGAAATCATCGGCGGGTTACTCGTTCATAATTATATATATATATATATGTTAATAAATATACCTGTAAATATCGTTACATCGCTGATGTTCACTTGTTGTTTGCCTGTTTGCAACTCACTACGTGTACGGTAGATGGCGCGCAGGAGAGCTACACGAGGCAGACGACAGAGGCGACCGTCGACTTACTGCTTACCACATTAGCTGTTTATTCGACAGTATAAACTCATCACGTACATCAAACATCAGTGTAGAAACAGTTGACGAAGACACGACGATAACAGGCATTATTTTACAGACAATAATTATAACAACTAGCAATACAGTTTCCTCGAATCTTCATCGACTAGATACGTTGTCACCAAGAGCGTATTAAGTATGCTTACTTAATACTTAAGCATAGCTTAATACGCTCTTGGTGTCACGGTTTATAAACCGTCCTGCCATCGAATCGCGCTCTCTCTCTCTCTCTCTCTCTCTCTCTCTCTCTCTCTCTCTCTCTCTNATATATATATATATATATATATATATATATATATATATATATGTATGTTATAACACAGCCACCGTTCGACGTGTAGATCTCTAGCGTCTTTGGTGAAGCCCGGGTGAAGCGAACCCAAAAAATATATTTGATCACTCGAACGCCATTGTTTCTTGATGAGAAATCTTCGTAAGAAAGATAGTTACCCGATTGTCTACAACCGTGTTCGGAAAATCCTACAACTCACAGACGTTGACGTTGGGCCTGAGTTCTCTACAGCACGCCCCGCTCATTGGTTAACATCTCTGTGCGTCTAGAGTAGATGCTCTATTCCATACTTCCCGGATGTTTGCATCATTGTCAGCGAACAAGAGGCGCGATCACACGCGATGCTGCTGCCCTCTGCAACGATACCCTGCTACGTAGACGCTGGCCCAGTGGTCCTCTCGTGTATCGGGATACAAGAATCCCGGCTACCCTGTTAGGTAGACGCTGGCCCAGTGGTCCNCCTCCTCTCTCTCTCTCTCTCTCTCTCTCGCTCTCTCTCTCTCTGTTCATAAAAAGTTGTTTTTTTGGCGTTGCCTTCTCCTCAGACTGACCACAAGCGTCCCTGCCTCTCGTTGATATTAACAACGACGTATGGAGTCCGTCTAACTTCCTGCGATCCCAGCCGTCTAGACGCCAATTAAGTTCTGCTGGATTCGGAAACTCTGCTATATATAATTGTTGGCACGCTTATAGGCTGTGAGATATTCGGTATAGTTTTGCATTCGACACGGGTTCTGCCACTTACTACGTGTAGTCGGCGAGCAAGTATTATAGTACATACTCTACTATGTATATACACTGAGTATATATATATATATATATATATATATATATATATATGT